ATTTTACTCTTTCCTTAATGCTTCTAAGTGATTGGCCACCATTTAGATGTTGGGTTCACTTAATTATGCTTGAGAGGGCTAGATTAAGTGTAGAACTTGCGTAAAATTATGTTAAGAACTTGATATTTGCATGATAAATGGATGGTTTTGCTAGTAAGATAGAAATATACTTGCTAGCCTTGCATAGCCACATTAGAGTTGGTGTTTAAAATTGAGTTTTATTAATTGTAACAAGAAATTAAGCAATTAATTTAACTAAACACTTGTTCATGACTTGAGAGAGCTTGTCCAAGTATCTTTAGAACCCTAGGTTAGCACTTATTTTCATCAAAAGAATTTATGCGAGGAGGTGATTTTAGTGTTATGAAATGCAAGGGGGATAAATAATCCTTGGTTTCATTTTGTGTTTGAAGTTTGTGAATCAATCGCTTTCTTTATTTTCTAGTGTTAGTTTCATTTATAAAATCATTTTCACTCAACTATGTGTAGCTCAACTTGATTGAATTTTGTTAGTCTTTTGCTTGATCATTGTTTTTGAACAAATCCTTGAGGGAACGATACTTTACTTTCATTATATTACTTGCTACGACCCGTGCACTTGCAGTTAGCAACACTAAACCATGTTTAACTTCAAATCATGGTAATATAGAGTTTAACCCTTAAAGGATTACCAAATTGTAAATATTTATAGAGGAAATTTTTTTAAATTCTTTCAAAGAAATCCAAATTTCACAATTCAAAATCTCAAACATTATTTAATAAATTCATATCAAAGTCTTGAAAGTAATGCAAAAGCTTGAAAAATCAATTGGGACCTAAAATGAGTTTTAAAACTTAAAAATAGATTTTTTTGCAGAAAATGACATGTGCACAGCAGCTTACGGCATATGCGCCCACGGCTTGTCTTCTCTGTGCCATGTGCCGCGACGTGAGGCGCCATGTACCGCAGTGATGCTGATAATGAAAAAGGTCATCAGTGATGACTTGGTCTCGACATTAACCTATAATAGTAGTAAACTGAGGACCTTAGATACGGTCCTAGTGAACCTTACAATTGATACCTCGGTTGGCATCAAACCATGCTTCTCTCGTCTCATCTTGATCATCATGTGGGTGGCAGAATGTTCACTGCCGAGCCATTGTCCACGAGGACCCTAGTCATTGGCCTCCTATCGAAATGTGCCTTGATGTATAAAGGCTTCAGGTACTAAGTCATCTTCACACTGGGTTTCTCCAGGATAGCCCGCTTTGGTTTTCCTTCTATTGCTTGCAAAGTGATTTGGCAGACGGGCTTTGCAATCTCTTCTTTCTACACCTGCGTGCTTATAGGTTCATACCCTTCTTCTTCTCTTGGCTCTATTAGGCAATACTGATAAGGGCCCATCTGTGTCGGCCTCAAGAAGTTTTATTTCTATTGGCCTTAGGTACCACCAGTAGTGGATCGAAATTGAGAAGGTAATGTTAATGAGACCACACAGTAGAAGTTGAGTGGTATCTCTCCAATGTGAATGGTCCCATTTTTCTAATTTTTAGCCTTGCTTCCTTTGTCCTGATCCTCAATGGATTTCCTTCTGAACTTGCTAGCCTCCTGTTGAATGTCGGGACTATCTTATACCTTAATTTTTTGCTGTTCAAGGTACCTCAATATAGCTCATTTTTGTTAAAGATGTCACTTTTGGGTTCTCATTAAGGAAGCTGGGAACTTCTTGTGCCTCACGACTCTCCATTCAGAAGTAGCACATTGCCAAGCGATGTAACAAACCTACCTAAGCCCTTAGCTGCTTTTATTTTTGAGAAAGCTCTGTGTTATTTTTTGATGTCATTAATGGCAGTAATAGTAGGTCGTCGGGGCCTACATCCCAGCCCGTTGGTGTCCCCATGAATGGTTTACTTGCTCCAGGGGACACTGAGTATTTTACAAAGAAGTCAAATTTGCCAGACGGTTCCCCTAGGTGATCTTAGACCATCTTAGATCCATCTGGCTCTGTCATTATCAATCCCCTTGGGCCAATATCCCATCCTAAGGGTTGCTTGCCATTTTTCTTCATTTTTTGCTGACTGTCTTCATTCTGGGTTCCCCCAAGCGGTCCCAAACTACCTTAGAGCTATCCGGACTTTTCATGTTCTACCCCTTCGGGCCTACGCCTTATTTAGAAGACTTGTTCTTACTGGACCGGCTTGTAGGTTTCCACAAGCAATCCCATACTTTCTTAGAGTTTCCTTGAGTCACTTTATCCCTGTTCCAGACATTCTAAGGTCTCCTATCCTTCTGCCTACCATTACATTTCCTCGGCTATTATTTGCTAGAGTTTATCTCAACCATATTGACCGTATCAAATGGTGGGAACGGGTCCTTATCTACAACCATAGATTCTTCCTTAGAGAATTTTAGAACTCCCTTATTAATCTAGTCTTAGACGACGTTCTGGAATCCCCAACATGCCTTGGTGCTGTGACTCCATGAATAATGGTACTTACAGTATTCCTTCCCTTTTTGTTCTTCCTTTGAAGGGATTTTATGATCTGTGGGCAGGGAGATGAAGTTTTTTTAGGAGGAAATCTTTTGATTTCCTCTGTTTTAGTAGTATCAAAGGTGTATTAAACTGTGTTTGGCTTTTTGGGAAGTTCTCCGGCCTTCCTTACCACAGCTAGGTATGTGTAGTTACCAGCATTCTTTAGTTCTGCTACCGCCTAGTCTAGATCTCCAAAAGAGGTCCCTGCTGTAGTCCATCGGTGATGGTCCTCTTCCTTGAGTAGTTCCTCCTAACCCCATACCTTGGCCGCGAGCTCATATAAATCTCGAAATTCCATCCCTTAGAATTTCTTTTGGAGTTCTATATCCAGTCCTGCCTATGCCAGCTTAATGAATTTAGTTTCTGGAAGCGGCATGTGGCACCTGCTCCTTATATATTTAAACCTTGCCAAGTATTGGTTTGCCGTCTTTTCAGCCCGTTGTGTGAACTTGCAAAGCTCTGCTATGCTGACCTCAAGCTCTGCTTTGTAGAACTAGATGTGGAACTTCTCCATTTCTATCTAGTTAATGATTAAGTTACGGGGTAGTGACGTATACCATATGAACGCTGGGCTCGTGAGAGTATTCAAGAACAGTCTCAACTTCAAGTTAGCGAAGTTTTCATAATTAGCAATCTCGTCACATTGAATTGTGAACCTCCCAATGTGCTCCAGTGTTGATTGCGTTCTGTCTCCTAAAAATAATGTGAAGCCAGGGATCCTATATCCCCAAAGGTACGGGTCGCCAACGAGTCTTGTGACCTATTTGAGCGATATTTTATATTTAACTCAAACACCATCTATGATCTATTCACATAACTCTATTGTCCTGGTTTTTTGACACTTGTTAATATCCAATTGATAGTCATATTTATATCAATGAACTCTAAAATTTTGAAAACAAAGGTATTATATATATATATATATTTAAGAATAATATTGCTGGCAAAAAATATATAAGAATAATATCAAGTAATGATCAAAATTAATATCCTTATACATGAATGCAATGAGAAAGAATCTCCAACGGATCAATAAAACTACTAGGACTTATGTCATTTAAGATTCACAGCTAGTGTTTATTTGAAAAGAAAAATCCACATCTAGTTATAAAAATAAAACAATATTTGTACATGATTTTAAATCTAAGAAAATTAATGCAATTTAATCATAATTAACTTGCATGTTTTATGTGTCAGGAGAAAAAGGGGCAAGTTTGGTATTTACCATAAAAACTCTTTAAAAAAAAGGCTGGTCATGCGAAAATATGATTGACATCTGTTACAAAATCGTGATTGTAACAATTTTGACAAAAAACCTTCACAATCAATAAAAAAATAATCAGTGGATAATAATATACCTGATATTTTTGTTTGGTAAAATAATAGTATAACATATTATAAGAGCAGCAGTTAGAACTCTGTTGATGTTAATAATTTTAGTAGCCTATTCATCAAAATTTTTTTAGTAACCTAGTATAATTTATAAAAGCTTCATTCAGCATTAAACCTATAACTGATTTTTACCTCAACCTATAATTTAGAAATAATTTTATGGATCACTTTTAACAAGTTTCAACAAAATTAAAAAAAACTTTAAACTTTATTAATTATGTCCAAAAATTTAATAAATTTTTAATTTTATCCTCATTAAAAGAAGAAATTCATGATAAAAATTTGAAGATGTAACTTATAAATAGAATAAACAAATCTTTTCTCTTTACTTTATAAATAGGATTAGAGGGAGTAGGATATTAGCAACTATTTCATAATTATAAAAAAAATTAAAATATTAATATTTTAAAAATTTGTACATCTTTGTAATTATATCTTCATTAATGTTTTTATATTAGTGCTTTAATAATTACAATTGAAATTCTAATGAGTATTTTTTTTACAAAATAATAAATAAAATAAAAATCTCTAAAAACTTTAAGAAAATTATAACATTTTGAATATCAAAATGTTATTTACATTTAAAGAGATTTTATTATCATTTTCTCTAAATAATATGTGTAACATGCTATATTTTGAACCAATCAAAATTTTTAAAATATATCCTATATTGTGATCATATGAGTATATTTTATAATCATTCTTTAAAGTTGTGAGTATATTTCATCTATTTAAAAATGTAAAATATTTTTTAAAAGTTTAAATATTAAAAAATATAACTAATGTACTTTTATAAAAAAATATTTTTAATAAATAATTTATTTTATATTTATTTTAATATTAATCATCTCATTAAATAAATATAATTATAAAATAATATTATTAATTAAAAAATAATTAATTATTTTAGTAAAGAATGTAATCCAATTAAAAATGTTTTATAACATATGTCCCAACTCACGCACGTTACTTTTTTTTTTTTTTTTTTGGTTTAAAAGGACTTCAAAAGTCAACCATAATTTGGGCATTTGGCAGATGGAGGAGAGATGGGGTCAAGCCTCAGTTCAAAGGAACAGAGGCAAAGGTCGTCTAAACGAGGTCGTTTACTGTTCGGCCTCGCCGCCTCCAAGAAACCCGGTGAGCGAGACGGGAATACAACATTGAATTTCGTACCTCATCATCTAGTTTAGACCCGAACCCAGAATACCACGCCCCCCCCCCCCTCTCTCTCTCGGGGTTCTCCTCCTTTTTCCTCCCTCCATCTCTCTCTCTCTCCTTCTGTCGTCTCACACTACGAAACCCTAGAGAGGGCTTTCTCTCTTATTTATTTTTCCTCAGAAATCAATACTATGCTCTGATCCTGGCTCCTTCGTGGATTCGATTGAAGAGGTGAGTTTTTGGTAGCATTTTTCCGTTGGAAAACTTCAGTTCTTGCTCTTTGAATATATACGTCTTCTTAGGGGCAACTTTGGAGTTGAATGGTTTAGCTATATGGTATTATTGATGGATGATGGTTTTCGCGGATCTGGTGTTAATACGGTCCCACCCGAACGGTAGAATTTAATATTTACTCTTTCAAATTGTATATTTATCCAAATTTTCTGCGAGTGAGGATTTGATGAAGGGTTTTGCTTAGAAATTATGATGTCCTTTTTATTTCCGCACAACGATTGGGGTCCAACCTAAGCCGGAAACTTAGTTACATATGCAGGAGATCATAACGTTTCTAGAGTTCCTGATGATAACTAAAGATGTATTGCTCCTATTTTTCATTAATCTTATCGTGGGTGTACAGTGTACAAATTAAGCAGATGATCTCTGAACGCGTATGTGATGGACGGAGTTTATTTTATTTTTTTGGGTATCAAGATCCGTTTTCAATTTATGATGCTTTGGTTAGTAAAATTTTTGCGTTCTTAGTCTACCCATTTTGGTGGACTAAACCATTGATAACAAGAAATAGTCATGTGGACTGGTCAGCTGACGGTCCCACCTCTGACATGATCACATGGCTGATTGTCATTGATCTAATTTAGATCTTTTTTAACCATGTACCGTGGAATTTCTCACTTTTACCATCTGTTGACAGTCTAGTTACAGCCATGTTGGTGTAAGCCTTATGGTTAACTTTGAGCCTGGTTTGTTTATGTCAAGATGAAGAACTAAGAGTTAAAGGTCAAGCTTCTTTATTTCCCCTCTCCTCTCTTGGTGGTTTGGACTATAATGGTCACAAGGAACACATCGATCTGTAAGTATGACATCAATTCAAAAGCAAAACTTTTGAATTTCACTTTCATAGGGTATTGATTGGGGTTACTAAATTTGTGCTTGGTCATAATACATATTAATATTATGGACACGAGTTTGAAAGGCTATATCAGCATGGAGGAGAATTTTCATTGTCTATTTTTATTTCAAATTAAAATTAAAATTATATATATATATGAATATGTTTTTTTTCAAAAGTCAATCCTATTCCCTTTTTACAGCTTTAAGGTATTGGCCTAGAGTGTGTGTATCTACCTCTGTCGACTAGTCTGCTAGAACATTGGAACCATTGATATTATTCAATTGCTATTTATCTAAGTATGGCTAGTAAAAAAATAGGCAAAGGATACCTGTAACTTCACAGGATGATTCGAGAATAAGATTGATGGTTAGTGAAAATAATTTCAAACCCGATAATACATTGATGCCTCCTGAGCTCAGAAGCACTGATACGTGAAAATGGCCAGCATGTTCGTGTCGGATACATACTCCGACATGGACACGCCATCGGGATGCAGAAACTTGCCTAAAATTTTGGAAAATTGCCATGTCCCCATATCATATTGTATTGTATTGTACCCATATTAGTGCTTCTTAGCTCTTGAGTGAGAGTGACTTTCTTGAAATAAAATTTCGTTGTTTGGAGACTGTAATAATGTACTGGGTTTTGTTCAAAAGACATTATTGTAATAATATTTTTGTAACTTATATTATGGTTTCAAAATCACGTAGAGAACTATATGTGATGTTGGTCTTTTTAGCTTGGTTTAAATATTTTATCTTATGTTTTTTCTTCATATTTTAGGTACACAATCTTTTGATTTTTTTTTCCAGTTTATTTATCAATTTGTTGCCCTATCTTATAATATGATTCATGATGTGGAAATACTGAAATAGGTTGGATGGATTCCAGATATGTAACGCTGTTGAAAGCTTTTCTGTCTTTATGACAAAGATGCCATTTTTTTCATTTAATTAGAATTGTAACTCATATATTATCACTGAGATTTTGTCTAAAGTTTTATTTTTATATTTACTGTAGCTTGAGTTCGGTCAACAAAGTATAATGGATGATGATTGTACAGATGGATAAAATGTCTGCTCCTTCATCACGGGAGCGTGCACAACGCCTTTATGAGAAGGTAATTTGTATTTCTTATTGGTTATTACCAAGTGGTAAATCTACAAGATAACCAAACAGAGAATTATCTGTGTAAATCTCACATTTTGCTGAGCAAAATGTGTTAAGAAATTTGATCATTGATACTTAACTCGCATGCTTTATTGGAATTATGATTTAAATAATTTTCTCTCCTTATTTGAAAAATCTGGCCATGTTTAAAGGGTTGTGGTAAAAGCATATTCTTGAAGACTAATATTATATCTTGTTATCAGTAAACTCCTGTGAAAACTATTTGTCATTAGGACTCTTGGATGATTTAGTACTTTGTGGCTTTTACCATTGCCAACCTTCATTGGCCAGTGGGTCTTGTGGACAACAGTTGTGCTCCCATGTTTGCATATTTCTTATTTAGATGTGTTGAATATTTTGGATTCTTACTTCTGGTTCTTTTCTGTTCTTGTTTCTTTGTTGAATATGTTGGATTATTTACAAAAATAAATCTTTGAAAATTTATTATTGTACCCTTGTGTAAGACCCTCTACCCTATTTGGGATTGATTAATTAACCAAACTAGTGATTTTAAAAACCCACTTGAAATTATGAGCTCCTTTGTGTTCGTTTTAAAAATCACAAAGAATTCTAGAGAATCAATTGTAACTGTAGAATCAATTTAATCTTCACCGTCCATTAAGGAGGTGGAAATTTTCTAGAATTAAGGGGAGGTCTATAAATACCTCACCCCTCCTCATTTGTAAACTCTGTTGAGTTTTCAAAGCAACACTACTCTTACATTCCCCAAGCTCTCTTAACTATCCTTTGCCCTTAAGCTTTCACATTATTTATGAAATACGTAACTTGTGTTGTTTAGCCTTATGCAATAGATGTAGCAACTAACAAAAGAGCTTGTCTTATTAAACTGGTTTGTGGATGCCTCATTTTTCTTTCTGCAATGGTTATCTTCTTATTCCCTCAAATCAATGCATAAGAAAGCTGTTTCTGAGGGATGAATCCTGAATGTATTTTGTGTAATATGTTGATTTATTGATAATTCAGAACCTTGAATTGGAGAACAAGCGCCGGAGGTCGGCTCAAGCACGGGTTCCATCAGATCCAAATGCTTGGCAACAAATGCGTGAGAACTACGAAGCTATAATTATTGAGGACCATACATTTGCTGAGCAGCACAATATTGAGTATGCCTTGTGGCAGTTGCATTACAAGCGGATTGAAGAGTTGAGAGCATATTTCAGTGCTGCTCTTTCTTCCACAAGCCCAAATTCCACACACGGGATCAAGGGCCCTGCACGACCTGATAGGATAACTAAAATAAGGCTGCAGTTTAAGACCTTCCTTTCAGAAGCTACTGGGTTTTACCATGATCTTATTATGAAAATAAGAGCGAAGTATGGTCTTCCACTGGGCCACTTTGAGGATTCTGAGAATCGAATTGTAATGGAAAAGGATGGAAAGAAATCTGCAGAAATGAAGAAAGGTTTAATATCTTGTCACCGTTGTCTGATATATTTGGGTGACCTTGCTCGCTACAAAGGACTGTATGGTGAAGGTGACTCTGTAAATCGTGAGTTTGCAGCAGCTTCTAGTTACTACTTACAAGCTGCATCTTTTTCTCCATCAAATGGGAATCCCCAACATCAGGTTTAAGTCATTTCCTTAAATATCCTTAATTAGTTTTCTGTTTTAGATCTCAATTTTTTTTTTTTTTGGGGAATTGGTGATCATGGTTATTATACTCTCGTTTGATAAATTTTTTCTTTTCAGCTTGCTCTATTGGCTTCATATTCTGGGGATGAGCTAGTGACTATTTATAGGTATTTCCGGAGTCTGGCTGTGGAGAGCCCATTTACAACGGCAAGAGAGAATTTGATTGTTGCATTTGAGAAGGTATTTCAAATGTGGTGTCAATTTTGTAACATTTTTTTATCATGAAAATACCAAATCTTGAGAATTTTCTTCCGTTCTTAGTTTATGTTGTATTATTTAACTCTTGACATTATTTATGTATTGATGATGGCTTGAATACTCAAGTATTATGATAGTAAATTTGGCCAGTTGAATCCTTCTTACTGTTTGATTCTGGAACCTAACTGCCTTACAAAATAGAACTGTCTTGAGCACAATAGCATCATGCAATCCATGTAACCAACCCCACTTAATAGAACAAGGCTTGTTATTATTGTTGTTTGTACTTACGTGGCCTTGGCCTTTTTGCTTCATATTTATAGCAGGGGATCCTTTAAGTAATTGTCTAGTGTTATTCTAACTGGATATTCTTTTATATCATGATAGAATCGTCAAAGTTACTCACAGCTTCCTGGTGATGCCAAAGCTCTTGTAGCTAAGGTATCTTCTGGGAGATTAGCTGGCAAAGGAAGAGGAAAAGTGGAAGCTAAACTGGCAGCGAAGAGTGTAGAAGCTAGTCCTAAAAAAGAGGGAGCATCTAATATAGAGGAGAGATACAAAAACTTCTGCACTAGATTTGTCCGTCTAAATGGAATATTATTCACACGTACAAGGTAATTATTCCCTGATTTTTTTTCCCTTTCTCTGCTTAGTTCTCCGTTTGCTTTACACTAGATAACATCAATCCACGCACTTATTTTTTTTCCTCCTTTTGTTTCTTGTACCATGTTGATAGCCTTGAGACCTTCACTGAGGTTCTTTCTCTGGTTAGTGCTGGCCTGCGGGAGCTTCTGTCTGGAGGCCAAAATGATGAGCTGAATTTTGGCACTGACACTCTTGAAAATGGACTTGCAATTGTTAGAATTGTGTCCATTCTTATTTTTACAGTTCATAATGTGAATAGGGAATCTGAAGGTCAAACTTATGCTGAAATAGTACAGCGTGCTGTTCTACTTCAGAATGCATTTACTGCAACTTTCGAGCTGATGGGGTACATTGTAGAAAGATGTGTACAGCTGCATGAACCTTCTTCAAGTTATCTTCTACCAGGCATATTGATTTTTATGGAGTGGTTGGCCAGTTATCCAGATTTTGCTGCTGGCAATGATGCAGATGAGAACCAAGCAATGGTCAGATCAAAATTTTGGATTAATTGTATATCCTTCTTGAACAAGCTACTTTCAGTTGGACCAGTATCTATTGAAGATGATGAGGAAAATACTTGCTTTAATAACATGAGCAGGTATGAAGAAGGAGAAACTGAAAACCGGCTTGCTTTGTGGGAGGATTTTGAGTTAAGAGGATTCCTTCCTCTTCTTCCTGCACATACCATCCTGGATTTTTCAAGGAAGCACTCCCTTGGAAGTGAGAGTGACAAGGGAAGAAAAGCTCGGGTCAAAAGGATTGTATCAGCTGGAAAGGCTTTAGCAAATGTTGTTAGGGTTAATCAGAATATGATTCATTTTGACTCAAGGGGGAAGAAATTTGTAATTGGTGTGGAGCCTCAAAAAGTTGATGATGTTGTTATTGCTACATATTCAGGCATGCCTAATGCAGAAGAGCTGGTTCAAGAAATTGTACTGCCAAATCAACATCAGTACATGGAGGGAGATGAGGATGATGAAGTTATAGTTTTTAAACCTGTAGTGGCTGAGAAACCAGCTGAGGTGGTTAGTTCAACATGGGCAGCTCATGGAGAGTTGGAATCTGTTCAGAAAGCTTCTGAGGAGGATAAAAAATTTCATGCCAACACTATTTCAAACCCCTTGAATAATCTAAACCATCAAAATGCTTTTGATGCAAATTTTAACATGCCTGTTTCTGTTAGTGGAATGATGCCTCAACACCTACAAACAGTTCAGCCACATTCTTCAAGGTGGTTAGAGGAGATGTCTTTCGCAAACAGTTTAAAAGGTCTCACCTTCTTGGAGAATGGTCATGTGATGAAACCTGATCTTCAGGAAGCTTCATGCACCTCTAATTATGGAGCCTTTCCTGTTCCCACCCAACATTTTAGTGCTTGTACTACTGCTTTGTTTCATGGTCTCACAAATGCTCCAGAATCTGTGATACCATCCAAAGTTGATGCTGTTGCAACTTCTGGAATTGTGATTGATAATATGGTTGTGAATCCATCAACTATGCAAGCTGGTTTAAGTAAAGCTGTCAGTCGGCCCATTAGGCACCTTGGACCTCCCCCAGGCTTTGGTGCCCTTCCTTCTAATCAAGTTAAAACTAATGTTTCTGATTCAGTCAGTGGGAATCTGTTACTGGATGATTACAGTTGGTTGAATGGATATCAATTGCCTCCATCAACCAAAGGTTTGGGCTCTAATGGTCCCCTTACTTACTCCCATTCAAATTCCCAGCAAGTCCTTAACAACAATGGCCTTGGGGGGACAGTCAGCTTCCCCTTCCCTGGAAAACAAGTTCCACCTGTGCCACTTGATGGGGAGAAACAAAATATTTGGCAAGATTATCACACTCCTGAACCCTCAAAAATTCATCACAATCAGCAGTTGCAGCCACATCAACAGTTTGCTGCTGGAAATCAACAATTTACTCCACTGCCTGAGCAATTTCAAGGACAGTCGACCTGGACAGGTCGTTACTTTGTGTGATGTCAGTACGAGAGTATGGATGGTATGCATCAATGATAAATTAATTACTGTTTGCTTAGGACATGGCTTAAATCCTGTTTTTCAGATATCTAACAAGCATGTTTGAGTTCCTTGTAGGTATTGTGAATGTGCTGCTCTTTCTTATCCATTAGCACTCCTCCTCAGCTGCTGTGGCATTGAATATTGTTGGAGTTTATTTGGCCTTGACTCGTTGCGGGCACTTGCTACTAAGAAAGGTGAGTACTGATTCATTCTTGAACTCCATAATTTTACTCATGTGAATTAAGCAACTTATGAATTGCTGCGAGCTGTATTTACACTCAGTCCTCTATTTTATCCCATTGCATGTTGATGTTTATGTTGTTTGAACATAGTAGCTGCTACTAGCTTCTCAAACAAGGGAATGTGTTGGAAATAGCTGTTGCTTCTACGTCTGAATCCCTGAATGAAGGCTTATTTAGTGTTTAGTGGTGAGTCTACGTCTGCTTATTCGATTATGCTCTGAAATTATGTAGATTTGGCTGAGCTCTCCAGCCCGGAGGAAGGATGACATCCAAGCATCTTTATGGTTCGATATTCTTAAGAAGTAAATGCCTTGTCTGGTTGGATGAATAGGTGTTAAATAAAGGATTATTCCGGTCAATTTGGGGCTTGTATCTCAATATCTCCGGGGATTACTGGTATGACAGTGGTTTTTTCACTTCTCTTATGGAAATGGCCATGATTCACCTATCAGAATTGTTGTTTCTATCATCTGGCTGCCCATGATACGCAGTGCTAACTCTTTTCCTGCCGCAAAGCTTCAGACTATATATAGTAAAGGCTGGTAGGAACAAGCTGGGTGTCTTGGGAGTCAGAGTTGGATATTGGTAAATGATTATGACCTTGGGCTCATGTGATCGAGTACACGTGTTTGCTGGAGGCATTTAGTGTATGATGAGTGGTGTATGGCTCATTTTATCCTTTTTCTTTTCGAAGTTGAGATTTTCCTGTGAATAAAGAATTCTGATGCGTGGTGGATATATTATATATACCCATCGCAGTAGGCAAGAATGTAATCAGATATCTCCCTCTATTTTGTGCAGTGTTTTTGTACAAAGTCTGGAGGGGTTATGACTTTCTTGATTTGTGTTCATCTTCTGGTGTCTAATGTGATTTCTATCTAGCACTGAATTGGAGTTTGCCTTTAGTCTATTTGCTTGATTCTTGGTCTTGTCAGGCACCGTTATGTTACCATTCGTGATTTCCCCAAACTGGGATATTAAAGGGCCAGCTTTTGATCAAATAGGTTTGAGCTTGTGACAGAGGCTTCAAAGCTTGAGCCGAGATATGAACCTGCAAGCAAGCCACTTTTAGGCTTAGGTTTGGGCTTGTGATGGGCCTAGTTGGCCTTAAAGCATTTTTAAAGGTTTACTTAATATTATGACTTAAAAAAATTCATGGCATTAAGCCTCAAACGTTTTAAGTAGGTTTTAATAAGCTATAAACTTACAATGTGTATTTTCTCTGTTTTTATTTATTAGAGAAATTGTCACTTTTGATTTTTTTTTTTGTAAGTGAAATCACATATTTTAATAAGTATTTATTATAAATTTCTTTAATTATTTCATAATTTACATTAATAAAAAACAATCTATGTTTGCTTGTGTTGATTAACACTATTTTAATTTAACTTTTTTATTTTTAGATAAAATTGTGGTGAATAGTTAATTTTTTTAAATTGTGATATAATTTTTTCTCCCGAATATATAAAAGCGGAACTAGTAAACTTTAAAGCCTACATGGTATCCCAAATAAATTATAACTTATAATAAATTTAAATAAAAATTATCTAAGTACCTTCAAAATTTGGAACTATACCACACCAATTCATCTAAACTAATAACAGTAACAACACAGCAATACAGAAAACAAGAGATCAGTCAATGGCAATGCAATATGCTAGAATTAAATGACATAATGATAATAACACCAATCAAGAATACAGAATATAATCTCTTGTACAAATGGTTTCTACAAAATGAAAGAATAAATTAAAAGTAAATAATCAGTCCGGCACGAGTCCAACTATCGATAGGCTGGTTAAAAAACTATCAATACAAGTAATAATAAAATAAACAAGTACATAATTAGAAACAGAAAAAACATGCACGTAATATTATTATATTATATTCAATTTGAGTGAAAATAATAAAAATATGACATGTTACATGCTTCATTTGAAATAATTTCCCTTCAAATTAATTAAATATTCCCTCCAGACTCATTTGTTGAAAAGGAATTTTTCAGTTCCTTATTTAGCTATAATTTTCTGTCATGAGCCTTGGCTTTTTTCCCCTTTTGGGAGTGAAAATCAGAAAATGGCATTTCATTCAAAAAGAGAAGCTTTACAACTCAGGCAAGCTGGTGGAACAAAGAATGACGAGTCCAAAAGAATACAAAAATATGCCAATTGTGAGCTTTCTTAAGGTGGATTTATACTCCCTCCATCTCAAAATATAAGATATTTTAAAAAAATTTAATATCATAAAATATAAAATATTTTGAAAAGATTCAGATTTAATTAAATAAACTTATTTAATATTATCTTTTTTCTCTTATATAATTTGCACACCTCTCTCTTTTTAATATATTAAATAAAAAATATTTTTAAAAAAATTATATTTTTATTTGAAATAATAAGATGAAAAAATTAATCTTTTAGTACTTCAACTTTTAAGTCACTTATAACTCAATCCCTCAACTATAACTCGCCGTGACTCAGTCCCTCAACTATAACTCACCTATGACTTAGTCCCTCAACTTTTGAATCATTTACAAATTAGTCCCTTAACCTTTGTTAATTTTTTTCATGTTAGCTTATATCTCACATTAATGAATAAGAAGAGAATATTTAAAACAATATATGAACATTTTTTATTTCTCTTATTTGATAAAAAAATTTAAAAAAAAATAAAAAATAAGGACCAAGTTATAGGTAAATTAAAAGTTAAGGGATTGAGTTACAGCGAGTTATAATTAAGGGAATGAGTCGCAGCGAGTCATAATTGAGGAACTAAGTTACAAGTAAATTAAAAATTGAAGGACTAAAAGATTACTTTTTTAATAAAATTGTTAAATATATTTAATAAAAATTATTTGCATATAAAATTTTATCAAAAAATATCTTATATTTAAAATAGATGAGGTACTATCCAACGCATCACAAAGTAGTTGTCAGGCTTCCTTTCGGAGTAAGGTTGATAAAAAAACCAAAGATGCCTTAATTGCCACTTGGCATTTATTTCCCATATTCAGCTGTTACATCGAGTACCAGTACCAATGTCCTTGACCTTGGTGTGACATTGATTTTATCTTCTTCTTCTTTTTTTTTTTTTTTTAGCTTTTTATGAATTGAGTAATTAATTACCGGTTGTTTCCAGCTGATTTGAAAATGATGTGCCCTTAGGCTCCATGTCCTTTTTCTTCAAAAGTATATATAAGATTCAAATATATAAAATTTAAGTGTTCTTTTTATAAATAAAATTGTTCTTAAATTATTAAATTTTATGAATATATTATACTTTTTTAAAAAATTAGTAAAATTAAAATTTATTATCAAAATTCAACATTTTAATTTAATATATAAGGATTATTTTTTTGAAAAAATTTAATAATACATTATCGTGAAATTTAATGATAATTTTAATCTTTATATATATATATTATAAAAGAAAAATTAATTATTTAGACCCTATAGTTTTAAAGCAGTTAAAACTAAATTCTTAAATTTTGATTTAATGCAAGTTAATCCTTATAATTTTAATTTAGTTAAAACTCAATCTGATTTTTTTTTATCTATTTATAATGTAGGTCCTTGCATTTAAAAAATAAAATTGTCATTTAGGAACTAATGTTTTAAGTAGTTAAAACTACAAGAATTACGTTGCACTAAATTAAAGTTTAAAAATTAAGTTACAGTTAAATTAAATTATAATGACTGAGTTGTGCTGTATTAAAATTTAAAGAATGGGTTACAATTAAATAAAAAATATAAAAATTAAATGATTATTTTTTCTATTATAATTTAGATGAGATTTTTAAATGCAATTTTTTTAAAAAGGTAAAGCACGGCTCGGATCTTAAAATATCATCATGATACTACATCTGTTGCCAAAGTGCTATCTCTGGTTGTGGCCAAAGTCCAAAGATAACACTTGTAATTGTAATTATTATTAATAATCACTGTCTTTGGTCAACCAAAGATAACATTTTAAAAGTATTGAAATTATTTTTATTTTATTATTTTGAGAATTAATATTTTATAAAATATATTTTAAAAATAAAAAATAATAAAAATAGTTTTTTTAATTTTCCTTTGTTTTTTAAAATAATAATTTTAAAATATCTGAAAGTTATTTTTATTTTTTATTTTTAAGAATAATATTTTATTTTTTTATTTTTTAAAATATTTTTTTGAAAACACGTTATCAAATAAAATTTTTTATTTTTTTATTTTAAAAAATGAAAAAGTATTTCTAAAATAGATTGCCAAACAGGTTTATTATCTTGCTTTTTCCTTTTGATAGTGGACAATTAACTCCGAAATGGCATATTCTTAATCTGTATAGATTATTTCATAATTTTGATGACAACAAACTAAATTATTTGATTGTTTTATATATTCTTTATTAAATTGTGCTCTCATTTGTCTTATTTAATTAAGATTTATTTCTGGGAATATCCGAGATTATGGGATAAAGCATGAACGTTTGGGATTTGTCTTATTAACAAAGTGTGTGTGTGTGTGTCAATTGGATTACTCAAAATCAAAATATGAGGAATTTGGTTAGGAGTACTAGGTATATAATTTTAGACATTAAAACATTATTATGAATCATGTTTATAGAAAAGTCAATATGTGTGTGAAATTTTGATAAACCATCCCACCTATCCCTCCTTTATGTCCTAGAGGATTTGTTTTGGGAAAATGAAAGATAGATCTCAGATGTTAAATTTTAAAAATTTATAAGTTCATCTCTCAATTTTATAATTTTATTGTGATAAATTTTTAATTTATATTTTAAAATTTTTTATTTATTTTTTAATTATGTTAAAATTTAAAAAATAAATTATAAATTTATCACAAAAAAATTATAAAATTAAGAGCTAAACTTACAAAATTTTAAAATTTAATATTTAAGATTTAACTTGAATTAATTGATTCCTTTGGCACCTTACACCTTCTTGTCATTCTTCCATTTTTTTTTTCAAAAAAGAAAAAAACAGACAGTCATGGAAAAAAACGCACACAACGAAGTAAATCAAACCAGATAAAAATAGCATAAACAATTTGAACAAAACAAAAGGGAAATTCAGACTTATTTGATTCTGTTTTATTTTGTATTTTTATATTCCCAAAATAATTTTGGAGAATAAATTTTTAAACAATTTTTGGAAATAAAAATAAAAAGTTTATTTGAATCATTATTATGAAAACCATATCTAGAGTGGCGAAATAAAGGGTGAAAGAATGATTTACTTATTAACATAATTATTATTAATGAAACACATGATGTTTTCTACCTTTTCTCTAATTTAACAGGACAAAAAATAACAAAATAAAAAAATGTTATGATTTTTTAGTTTTTTTAAAGCAACTTTTAATATTTATGTTTTTTTAGAAGAAATAACTTAAAAAAAAAGTTTTCAAAACAAGTTTTCTTTTATTTATCAAAGCAAAAAGGTTACTTTGAAAATAGACACCAAACAAGTCCTCGAAACCAAATTTCTAGATGCTTCATGATCCTGATCCAAAAAATGAGCCAAAGGGGAATGTGAATTTTGAAGTACAATTCGAAGAACCTGTCCTTTAACCACAATTTGAGCAATCCAGTCTGTAACTTAATGCTGACTTCTTGGGATTCACTTAAGACAAAAAGCTTCCAAATTTATTATTTAAACTTCTTCTTCTTCTTCTTCTTTTTTTTGCAAATGTATTATAGTACTTTTTTTTTGTTAAAAAATATAAAATATTTTTTAAAAAGTTAGATGTTCAAAAATATAAGGCATTGTTAATCTTTTGATGTGTAATTATTATATTTTAAAAAAAAATACCTATATTAATAATGACTTTATATTTATTATGGGATATTTAAATAAGAGTAAATATAAAAAAATAGAGTTAGTGTAAAAGTAAGTAACTATTTTATTAA